AAAGAAAAACTGTCATTAACATTTTTCACCTTTCTTCTTTCCTGACCTCAAAAAAGCAATCATTTTTAAAAGAAGGGATAAGTTGAGCTCCTAGGTTATAGTTATGTGTGAGGATCCCTTTTTACTTGAGATAAAAACTTAGGTGCACAGTTTAACAAGGCTGCAAGGAGAAGTCTTACTGATTTATCTAAAATTTTCTATAGGACAGACTATAAATTAAACCTGTGCAAATACTCTTTTAACCTGTTTTCAACAAAACTGCTATTTTTGAAGTCTGGTAGTAATTGCCTAAATGTGATTTGAGCATTAGGTGGCCTAATTCTGATTTCAATAAAATGAATCCTGATGCTTTTTTTTCCCCTCCATGTTACGCATGTGAAATTACAAGGTCTGCTACTGTAAGCCCTGTAATTTTTAGATACACTACATGCCTAATCTTTAGTACGTATTTTTCAAAACCTTAAGTTAAAGGGGAGATATTTTTCAAGTGTCAGTTTATTCTCTGACAGCGGGATTGACGCTTCAGGTTACCAGGTCTTTTTTTATCACACACAGTAGGCGCACACGTGCAATGAGTACATTGCGGGGACGAACGCTGGTTTTCGGTGTCGCTACTTGTATTGTTTTAACGTTTTACTGTGAAACTGTTTCTGCTGTATTACCGATCTGCCACTGTGCCATGTTACCATTTACGAAATGTGACGAAACAGTGGAAATCTAATGTCTAACTTCTCCCATGCGCAGTATTAAAAATGGATATGAACCGGTTTTCTCGCTCTCTCTCCCTTCGCTGCGCTCGCCGGCACGACCCATCCAACCTTTCTTTAAATAAAGTCACCTTGAAAGCGCCTCGCAGCTGAGGCAAATCGCTCCGTGTCTTACGCTGAACCATCCTCCCCCGCCCCTTCCCCTCACCCTCGGCGACGGCGCCGGTACCACCTCCCGGGGGGACAGGGGATGGCGACAGACACAAGGGACTTCTGAGTGCGGCGCGGCGGGGCGGACCTCCCCCTTCACCCCGGTCACCTGCGGCTCTTTTAGCCGCCTTCTCCTGCCTGAAGAAGCGCTGCGGGGGAGCTAAGGAGGGCTGGGAGGGCTCCGGCGCGCTCACCGTTCCCCTCACCCTCAGGAGAAAATGGCGCCGCCCCACGCAGGCCACCGGACGACCCCGGCGCAGCTCATATGATGTCTAAAGCGCGCGACTGGCCGTCGACCAATGAAAGGTCGTGTTACTGCCGAGTCGGGTAGGACGAGCACCGTTCCACCAATCAGGAGCGCTGATCTTCCGTTGCTAGGTGGCAGTGGAGTGAAGGAAGGCGCCGGGAGGTGCAGTTTCAGGTGGGGATCTGTGCGGCGTCGCCGTTGCCCTGAGCCCCCGCCAGGCCGTTTGGGGCGTGTGTGGGGGAGGCTTTGAGCGTGGCGGGGGTGCGGAGGAGCCGCCTGCCCGCGCTCGGGACCGCCACCGTGGCGGAGGCCTGACCCTGGCCTTAGCCCGGAGGCCTCCGGTCCGCGGCTCCGGTATGC